GAGAGAGAGAGAGAGAGAGCGCTGTTACTTGAAGTCTGTGAAATCTTTTAAAGTAAAATATGCAACGCATACGTTTTTCGCACGATTGTTATCGCGCGAGACAACGATTCTTGACGTGAGACCTGCTCGCTGGGGAACTCCGAGAATTGCAATTTTGGCAACGTGATAAATTCGGGGGGGAGGGTATCCCTCTCGCGTGTAGAGCGCAGTAGACTCGAGGGAATTTGTAGTCTGCGGTGGTGGCCTGAGATAAGGACCTTATTCTGCGAAAATATGGATTTCGGTGGTGGGATATATACGATAGGGAAAATTCATCTTGCAACGTTCACGTACATGCATCACGTACGAATTCGCGTCGACTCTATGCTACGACGCCGCGAGCGGATTTAAACCGCAAAAACGCGTAATTCTGCGGAACCTCATGCAAAACATTTTCCAAACGTCTCTCGGACGCGCGCCCGGAGCGTTGTTACGTTGTTACGTTTGTTACGTGAACTTTGTAAGAGCCAAATTGAACTGAAATAAGAGAGGAACAACTCGCAAGTTTCGCGAACGTTTAAGAATAATAAGTCACAATTCCAAGTTGTATGTGTGCAAGTTTATATAGTAGTACTCTTGCAAACAAGCGTGCCACTTTATATAATGGGACATTTCAGTATGCGAATCTTTTCTTCTATTTTCGTATGGAAGCTCTTTCGGAAATTAGATATCGGTGGATGGGTTGGGACGAACGCGTTACGAATAGTTTACTTCAGCTGTACAGAAGAGATATACTTTACATTTACTTTGCAGGTACTGTTACAGGTAATAAATACCTTGCTGCAACGTGTTAGTTTACCGTCACAGGTTACTTTACCGTACGTTCGACACCGAGCTCCTCCAGTGACGCTCGGTGTCGTGTCGATAACCGGCTTGCCAGCTCGACAGTCCGAATATCGAATATTGATGACTCGTACGGTGCGCCCCGCGGAAAATACCCCCCCCCCCTCCCGTCAAATGAAATTTACGATTTACCGCGGGCGATACGAGGCTCTAAATACGCCGCCGTAAACTGTCCCCGTGCGTGCTGCAAACCGGTGTGTTCAAAGCCGGCTGCAAAATTGTAAACGCGATTTCCGCCAGATACGGAGGCGATGAATAGACCAAACGGGTGTCTCAATCAAGCCTGTTTTGTTCGCTCCTCCATTTTGCCGATCCTTTTTATCGGATGTAATCTCGCTGCGGTTTGCATTCTCGTGAAGCGAGATTCGTTACGCTCGTACTCGCTACGCTATTCATTTTCGAGTATCGCATGAAGAAAATGTTTTATATGAAAAAAATGTATGAGATGAGTATTGAATAGACTACTTGTTTCGGTTTGCAGAAAGAGCGAATAGCTCTTTAAATTTATTTTACAATCAATATTTATCTTAAATATTATATAAATAAATAATAGATTTATATTATTTTTTTTTTATATTTTATTTATTATATATATATATATATATATATATATATATATATAGTATATTTATAATAATATAAATAAATAAATAAATCGTTCGATTTATATAAACTAGAGTAGAAGTTTAAATATATTATATATGTATCTTCTAAGTTGTAATATTATAATTTAATATTATTTTGTTAATATTCTATTATAATATTGTTAATAATGTACTGACTTTTTGTAAATACAGATAGTTTGATCGCAATTCTTTATAAAAGAAAAGGCCTATCGGACAAGGAAATGTCAAATGTTGTAAATCGAAAGGATATGGAAAAGAAATGTGCCGCGTCTCGATCATTGTCTCGTTCGATTCGCAGTTGTATTCTCGGTAATCATCGATCTAACGACTGAAACTGTAATTAGTCCGAGTATTCAGAGATCGATGTTGCTCACAAATTAATGGCAGGATTATAGGTAGGCACGGTGTGTCGTGGTATTGTTTAATTAATTCGTTGCGTTGTTAATAGGTGAACGTCGCTAGCGCACCACCAGCGAATGTAACGCACTAATCATACTATCCATATAATAATCCGGGAATCATTGGTATTGTTAGATCCCAAGGGCGACGTTTCGCAACCGCACCCTTTTCGCGAGGAAAATCCTTTATTCTTAAACAAAGGTAAATTGCACGAGTTAAAAGCAGACCCGTCGCGAGTTTCAATTTCATTTTTTCTTCTCGAAATTATTAGCCGTATTTATTTTTTCGCATTCATTTTATCGTATTCTCGTCCAACGATAAGCAATAATCGAAAAGATAGAATTTCTCGATATATTCCAAGATGGATCTCGATATATTCCGAGTCTTTGCGACTTCTCGTCGTTCGACGTAGTCGCGAAAGTAGAGCCGGGACGGTTTCGCTTCTAAACGTCGTCTTTTCTTTTCTTGGCGGCACATTTTGCAACACCACGCGACATATGGTCGAGTTTAGCATCAATGGAGATTAGATTCTTTAACCTTCTGGCCCTCTTCTGGCATCGTGCAAGTCGTCGACCATAGCAGACGCGACAGCGAGTGCGGCGATTGACGTCAAAGGTAACATTGTCGGGGGGGGGGGGGAATGCGAAATCAGGGCGTGGAGCGGTAATTTAGCACGAATAATTCGCACAAATCCTGCTCGGGGGTAACAATATCGCTGTACCAGAGACCCCAACGTCCGTCTCTGGCGATTCTGAAAAGATGTAAGCGGATTACGCGGTATTTATTTGTAGTTGCGCCGGCTGGGCGCGGGATCTGTCCCGAGGTATAATCCGCGTTGAAAGGTTTAAAGGTTCAACGTTTAATCAGTCAGTTCATCGAAACATCATGATCGTCAGTGGCAACGTTCCGGCAATGTTCCGTTGCCACAACGTGGAAACGTATAATCCGCTTTAGACGGCAACTAACGGAGAAAAACTAACGAGCCCAGAATGTTAAAGTTATCATGCGATCGAAACCGTGAAGATCACACGAAACGTTTTTATTTGAGGAGATAAACGACTGTTTGACAAATACTCGTCTATCTTTCTACCCTTTCTTTCCACCCTCGATTTCGCATTTCGCTTTTTCGACATCGCGTCGCGTCATGGCGTCGGCGTTTAATGTCGGTGTGGAATGAGAAAGGGACAAGATTGTATTTAATGACGCAGATACCATTTCTGAACGATCTCTCTCCCCCCCCCCCTTTCCCCTTCCGTCTACGACATGTAATCATTTTCTCTTTATTTTTTGTTACAGGGGCGTGTTACGCCGAGTTTGGAGTACGAGTGCCTCATACGACCGGCAGCGCTTATATGTACAGTTACGTGACAGTAGGCGAATTAATAGCATTCATTATTGGATGGAACATGGTGCTGGAGTACCTTATAGGTACGAGTGCGTGTGCGTGCGCCCTTAGCGCCTGCCTCGACGCGTTGGCGAACGGTGCTATTTCCGGGGCGATAGCCAACAGCGTTGGCACCATACTCGGTGAGTATCCATTTTGAATACCGCCCACGCGTGCAACGCGTGCAAATCATTGATCGCTGCAAGATTGCAAACTAATCTGATTGGTAGATTTTATTCAAGGGTAGAAAAGAAAACATTAGTTCTCTCTGAACTGTAGTAGCGTTAATGCGAATTGTTATTTTTACATTTTATCAGATATTTTAGATAAATATTTATTAGATAATATTTGCATTAATGTAATATTGAATCTTTGCGGAACGTTTTGATCTCGTATTTTTTATATTGTCGTACTTTTTTTATATTGTCTACATTAAATTAAATATCTCGTTTGCGCAGTTTTTGGAATAAAATTACATTCTATGTAAGCTCGTCTTGAACCTTTCTTCGCGCGTCAGTCAAGCCTTAAAGTTTTCCTTCTAGTCGCTCATAAAAGCATGAAATGACGAGACATAGTCGCCGCTGTCGTCGTCGGTAGGGACGTTGTAGAAATTTACGAGCAAACTCTCGTTTTTTCTTAGCGAGAATTTTAGCGACGTGAGTCCTTTGTCCTCAGCTCAATCGCAGAACGCTCTATACGCTTTTTCGTGATAAGAGGAAGATAAAAACGATCGATGACTTGGCGAATGCATCACACGCGAATAACATGTGTTTCTCACGTTCACGGAATTTGCAAGCAAAATCTTTGTATAATTTTTGATCAGTAATTCATCCGGAAAAAAGAAAAAAAGAAACATTATTCATGTTGTGACAGAAATTTAAAAATAATATTTAAAACGACGCGCGCGTGTATGTTTGAAATTAATTGTGTGTGTGTGTGTGTGT